AAGAGTGTAAGGAAGAGCTTTCTAACAACCAGAGCGCTATCCAGTAATAGCTGCCTAGAGAGTACCCGGCTTCTGGAACGTTCAAGCGGTCGAGGACTGTGTGTGCCTTTGCGTGGTGTGGGGGTTGGGGCAGAGAGAAGAGGTTCCCGTTTTGGGTGGGCGTTTGGATTATATTACCCCATTTCCATCCATCGTAAATTGCTGTGATGGAAAGAAAACAAAGAATAAAGTAATTTTAAAAGTTGAGTTGGAGTTTTTCACCTTGGAGAAAAATCAAAGTGGGAATTGCCAATTTGCAAATTTTCAAAGACTATTTATCACGGGCGTGGTGGAGGTGGGGACTACGTGCTGTCCCCTATCTTCCCTAAAGACCAGGTCAGAGGAAATGCACTGAGCTTGCCGGAAAGAGAAGAGGTTAGATCCCAGAAGGCGAGGGTCTGGGATCCAGACAGGGAAGAGAGCATATGGTTATAGCATCTCCATCTCTCGGAAATCTCAATGCAGGCCACTCTCATCTGGGGCGAGGGCACGAGGTGGCCTCTAGAGACGGTCGCATTGATTCCTGGTCTTTGTTTCATACAATCACACCAGACAGGATGGTGTTCACGTGCGACAATTCTCGCAGTTTAATATCCGGTCAACGAGGCTGTCCCCACGGCTCTAGCCTGGAGTCTAGGGGCTAGAAGGGCGGGGCGGGGCAAGAAGGTCCCAAGGGAGGCGCTGGCCTGAAGTCCCGCCCTGTCCCGCCCCGCCCAGCCTTGGCTAGCCGTCATTCCCAGAGCCTCCGGCTGCAGAGAATAAGCGCCTCCGCCTCTCCAAGCCAGGATCCAGGCCCGGAGACGACGCTGATCCTCAAAGGGTCCGGCACGCCAGCCACTGGGGTCCAACCTGGGACCCTTCAACAGAGACCGCGGGAATCGCCGCTGAGTCAGCAACGCGCGCGCGCGCCCGCTGTTGCCCCTGCCTAGCCCTGGCCGCCTTAGCGCCTCGGTTAACCCCTTCTCACACAGAGCCGCAGGGTTTTCATCCTGAGAGGCCACAGAATTCCCTAGAACACCTAGCCACTCTTCCCACCCGAGTTCAGTGGGCGGTGCACGCTGTAATTTTATTTTTGGTCTAGGTGTGTACCTTCCTGGAGTACCTGCCTCAGATTCTCCACCTCAGACGGAGGTGACTCAGACTAAGGAAATGGACTCCTTCACTCCAGGGCTGGAGGGGCACCTCTAGAGCTGCGTCTGGCGCAGATCTGGACACCCTCTCAGTAGCCAAGGCTCTGCCTTGTCTTGAAGACCCTGAGACAGACAGCAGTCTTCCTTTCCCCCATGCTCTATGCCCTTCGTTCTCCAAAGCGCCTCCAGAGACGTTGCTTGGTGAACCAAGAGTTAAAACAAGAGCGAAGGCGGGCTTCCGTGACGTCGCTAACACTCCGCGTCCGACCTCAGAGACTGGGGCGTGGCTACCATCGCACCGCCCCCTCCCTCCCTCTTCCCCCGCCCCTGCCCGCTGTCACCGAGCCAGGGGCACATGACGCAACCCGCCGGGGTTTCAGTTGTCTGATTGGTGGCCGCGCCCGGCGCCAGGTACAGGGATTGGGCAGAGGAGGCTGTGACGAAACCTGGACCCTGCCCTACGAAGAAGGGAGGAGAGAAAGAAGAGGGAAGGGGGGTATCCCGGGGGAATTGGGCTGGGGAGGCGGGGTCCCGGCGTTGTGCTCGCGCCCCCAGCGCGCCAGTCCCGGGGCTGCAGGGAGCGCAGCGCGCGCGGCCCGGGCCCCGGCCACCGGACGCCCTACCGGACACGACCCTCCCTGGAGCTTGGACAACTGCCCACCTCGGACACTGCACCGGACACTGCCCCCCACAGCGCTGGACACTA